AGTGCCGATGCCAGCAGCTATGGTTTGGGAGGCTGTATACTACAAAGACATGGTAAGGAGCTCAAGCCAGTAGCATACTGCAGCAGAACGATGACAGAAACAGAGAGAAAATGGGCGCAGATAGAAAAAGAGCTTCTGGCGGCCACCTGGACTTGCGAGAAAATGCACATGTTTCTGGCGGGTTTGCCTGAGTTTGAGCTTCAGCTTGACCACAAGCCTCTGATTCCTCTAATCAACTCGAGGAATCTGGTAGAGGCACCTCTCCGATGTCAGCGCCTCCTGATGCGACTGATGACGTACAATGCCCGCGCCAGCTACGTCCCAGGAAAACAGCATGTTCTTCCGGATTTTCTTTCAAGATTCCCAGATCGCACCAAGGAGGACGAAACAAGCTCCGTCATGGTCAGCGAGGTCCACCAGTACTGTGCAATGATATACGAAGCGCTTCCAGCCACCCAGCAGCGTCTGAAAGAAATCAGCGAAGCCCAAGCAGCAGACAGCGTACTCCAACAAGTAGTGAGACAAACACTCAGCGGCTGGAAGGAAGGACTGAAGCACCATAGTCTTAGTGAATACTTTGCTGCAAGAGGACAGCTCACTGTTATCTACACCACATTCGGAAAGCTTCTGATGCACGGCAGGCGTCTCGTGATTCCGCCAACGCTTCAGAAAGAGATGCTGCGACGTCTGCATGACGATGGACACTTTGGACTGCATAAGTCAAGAGAAAGAGCAGAACAATCTGTCTGGTGGCCCGAAATCAGCAATGATCTGAAGATCTATGTGACGCAGTGCTCCTTCTGCCAAATCAACTCACCCAAACAGCGCAAAGAGCCGCTCATCTCCACACCAGTTCCAGAGAAGCCGTGGTCCCACGTGGCAGCAGACATATGCCATTCTGGTGGTTCCATCTGGCTGGTAACCATCGACATCTTCAGCAGATATTTGGAGATCCAGCGCCTTACCAATGTATGCAGCACAGGCGTGATAGCGTGTCTAAAAACACTGTTTAGTCAGCACGGGTTTCCAGATCTTCTGACAACCGACGGAGGTACACAGTTTACTTCTGCGGCATTCGAGGAGTTCAGGAAGTCCTACGGTTTTCAACATCGTGTGACTGATCCACACCACCCGTCGTCCAACGGAGCTGCTGAACGTGCGGTACGCACCGCTAAGTGGATCCTAAAGCAAAAAGACTGGCACTTGGCTCTCCTAAACTATAGAGCTACCCCCATAGAGGCTACTGGCTGTTCGCCTGCAAAACTGCTCATGGGACGCAACCTGCAAACTAGACTTCCGGTGGCACAAGCCGAGCAACATGAGTATCAAGCAGCTCGTGAGAAGGATGAAGAGGGGAAGAGGAAGATGGAAAAGTACTTCAACCAGCGGAATGGGGTTAGACTACTTCCAGATCTCAAGCCTGGTTACAATGTTCGCATGAAGACCGACAAAGAATCAGATTGGTCGGCGTCAGCGAAGGTTCTCAAGAAAGCAGGCCCAAGAAGCTACATAATACAGACCGGAGGAGCTACTTACCGACGCAACCGTTGTCATCTAAAGCTCTGTGAGCATGAAGAGCCCAAGCACCAGCGCTCTCCGCCTCCAGCACCAGCCCGCGCTGCAACAAGATCGATGAGCCCGGCACACCTACCAGCTCTGCTGCAGTCTCATCCGTCGCGTCGTGACCTGAAGGTTCCAGCACAAAGGGCGCTCACTCCGCCGAGAAGCATCCAGACCAAAGAGTCCAGACCTCCGAACGAAAGGCGGTCTTACACTCGGAGCAGAGCCGACAACAGGACAACGACTTCAGATGGTCATGGGGAGGTGAAATCGTCCTCTCCCAGAGTGACCCGCAGCGGAAGATGCTTCGGACCGTGACGTCCGTCTCGCCAAAGGAGGGAGATGTATCGTGGATCCGCCCTCCGGGCGGAGCCTCACGAAATAGTGTGAAACACGAAATAGCTCGTGATACTAAAATAATCTTACTTATGATGCATTCAGTAAATACAGTCTCGTCCCGAATCTCATAGCTGTTTATCACAACTTGATACAGGGGGGATCCAAGGGACCCCGCCCTCCCCCCTATATGTTCGCGATTGGCAGAACACCGATACGGGCGAGGATTAACCCACCCTGGAACTGGTAGAAGGGCTGCTGTATCCTAAAGGCTTTTCGAAGTTGGCGTAATAAAATCGGCACACACTCCAGTCTCCACCCAATTCGGTAAACTATATGATATATGATGTTCGTGTTTATACATACGACATCGGAAAATATGTTTACGTTTAGTCCTGGCCACCGAAAATCAGGTCATAAGTTAAAAATATATATTAAACGGTGCAAAATCGGGTTCTATCTCGAATTACCTGTGGTCGCCTTATAGCAAACAGCTTTGGAACTTATTCTTTCAAAGTGGTTCAAATGATGTTTTTAGCTTTCCAATTTCTACATACAACAGATATTTCGCTTTTAAATGCAGTTGATATTGAATCAGCTAGAAATTATAATTTCGTTAAGATAAGACCGATTTCGAAAAGCTCTGATTGTGAAAGACGGCCGACATCCGCACTGTTTCATTTTTCATGATGTGCAGTGTCTCCTTCTGTACTATTTAATACCTAACAAAGTTTTGATAGGTGTGCTTATTATTGAAATACAAGAGAAGGTACGGGAACTAGGGTCGAATTTCATTTTGCTAACAACTTTTCATATCACACAGAAGAGCTTCGAAAGGTACTGACTGTTGGTGGGTTCCTCTTGACTAGACGAGTGACCGAGTCGAATGATAAGCAACAGAAACACCAGTCAAACGTCCTGCGCTTATTCAGTTTCATTAATAAAAATCAAAGTGGACTTGGAATTTTGGATGCTTAGCGAACTTGGAAGCCATATGATAAGTGAGCTTCGAACTTTTGATGTTCACTTAACACACACATCATTTGTCGCGCATTGTCGTACTGGGCCCGCCGCACGGTAGGCGATCGGGCCGGTCTAGCCTCGCGAAACCTCAAAGACGCTTTTTTCCGAAAATTGGAAAACAACGCATACTAGTCGACAGAAAATTCATCAAAGATTACGATTAGTGCATTTGCATGGCTCAGGAGACATTTTTTCGTAGACAAAAGTATCGTTAAAGACAGCGTTCCGTAACACTTCATAAGGGGGATAATCACAGCCGATTTTTACGCTCTTTGAATATTTTGCGGAACGATGAAATTGCTAGGTGTTGAGCATCCATTTTGCATGGAAAGTGAAATTTAGGTGTTTAGACGATTCCGCCATAGAAAGCAAGTAGACAAAATCAGTTCAAAATGTCTTATAATTAGGTTAAATTTTTATATTTTTTTTCTACCACTGAACATTACGTTCACTGAATTAACCAAGCCCAGCAAAAAAAAGTTTTACGAGGATGAACTGAAAATAATGCTGTATCGCATGCACTAAGACACTATCTATTAGGGGAGCCAGTGAAAATTTGCAGCCACTTGCAGCCCTGGCATCCAGACACTTTTTTCTTCTAAGGGTTGGCCGTGGCTTGGTGCACTTGAGCACAAGGGGTAAATGCCCCAAAGGGTGTTTTCGCGATAGCTCAAAACACCCAGGCAATAGAGAGCTGCAACTTGGCATACCTGACCTTTGATGCACGCTGGATCTTGTGACACCAACTGCACTTTCAAGGCAGGTCAGGTCACTGACCTATGACGTCATAAATGAACCTCTGCACGATCCTTAGATATCGCAACCTTGCAACGCTCTCAGTGCCAGAGTAACTTTCACAGGGAGGTGAGACTTGCAGGACTTATTGTCCTTCAGAGGTCTTACAACTTGTATATCTCAGATTTTTCCTAAATGTCACAGAAAGTCAGGTTGGTCACGTGACCTCACCTATAAGTCAATGGGGAAATATGAAAACTGTTATTTTGGCGCCAGGAATGATATTCAATTGTCTCAAATACATGGAATCGTTACTTCATGCACTCATTGCAAGATCTGATGCTGCATTTTGGCATTGTTGACCTTGCATGACGTCATTTATGACGTCACTAGAGTCATACTAGTTTTTCGTCAATAACTCCCAATCAAATTGAGCTAGAGAGTCGACAAGGTCACCAATGGACTCCGGAAGACCTGCCGAATCGAATGATATGCGATATGACCTCCTTCGACCAACTTCGTGATTTGAAGACCTCTGACCTGACCTTGACTCGAGGTCAAGGTCAGGTTGACCTTACGGTGGCCTCACCTAAACAAAAGGATACCATTCGACGCGCCTGAGCAAGGCGAACACGACGATGTCAAAATCGTGGTTCTGCGGCCATTTTTTGCGAAGTTATGTACCAAAGTACCAAACCCGCTGCTTGGGTCACGTTATGAAATGGGGTCTTGCCGGGGGAGATTTACGCTGTTTCATGATATGTATAAATTGCCAGGGCATAATCGTTTGAATAAAAAATTGGTTTGGAAGCAATTTTCTATGGAGGTACACACCATTTCAATGTCCTACCCAGCTCATATCGTCATAAATTTCGACCTACCCTCAAAAGTATTCATGCGTTATTCGAGCAGCAATTAGGCAAATTGCAAGCTCGCCACAGAGCACAAATCCTATAAGAGATAGTCCTTATTTAAAACATATGCTCATTGGATATTCAAGAAGGTTGCTCCTAAATATTGTGGTTCTAGCTTCAAAAACATGGATGTTATGAATGCCGATAGGTTTCGCGAGGCTACACCGGCCAGATCGCCCACTGTGCGCCGGTGCTGAGCAGTGGCGCCTCTGCCGGCAGCCGGCGGAACCGTGTGTTTACGGGTCTGCCGGACCGCCCGGGCGGTAGAGGACGGACGGTGAATCAGACTGTCGGCTGAGGTGGCGGCGACTGCATGCACCTGAGCCTGCCCCCCCCCCCCGCCAGTCTGCCAGATACAGAGGGACGGGGGGTGAGCGCTGTCGGTCGGCAGAGTGGACGGCGCCCCGCTGATCCGTCTGCGGCGAGACCCACCTCGATGTCGGTGGTGAGCCAGTCGAGCCCGGCCAGGTCGGCGCCCCCGGCCGGCGTCTGCGGGTTCAGGCCGGCCGTGTGCGGGCTGTAGCCGCCCGTCGGCGACGGCGCCGTGTACGCACTGCCCGGCGACGGGCTCGGCTGGTAGCCCGACGCCGGCGACGGAGTGCCCGCGTACGGCGACGGACTGGCCGCCGAGCCGGGGCCCGCTGTCGGCGGAGCACACCCAGCGTCAGACTGAGACACAGCAGACTGGGTATATCAGACTGAGACATGACGGACTGGCCGCCGAGCCGGGGCCCGCTGTCGGCGGAACACGCCCAGCGTCAGAGTGGGACAGATTGGACACGGCAGGCTGAGACACGACAGACTGGACACGACAGACTGGACACGACAGACTGGGACACGACAGACTGGGACACGACAGACTGGACACGACAGACTAGGACACGACAGACTGAGACAAGACAGACTGGACACGGCAGGCTGAAACACGACAGACTGAGATAAGACAGACTGGACACGACAGACTGGGACATGACAGACTGGGATACAACAGACTGGGGCAGGTTAGAATGAACACATTTACGTCAGTATGTCGCGCAGCTGTGCGTGTCTAATAAGTACTCACAGGCGTTGTGTGCGCTGCTCGGACTCGGAGACGGCTGGTACGGGGAATAGGCGTTGAAGCCGGGTGTACCTGGAGAAAAGACAGACAATGTGAGCAATAACCAGTACAGGAGCAGGGCAGCACACAGCTCCAACAGTACACCAGTGCAAGGGATACCAAGTCCTTCAGCACAGGAGCCGGCAGCCCACCCCGCCCCGCACCGCGCCGCCCCTCTCCGGCCGCGCCGGCCGCTCACCGGGGTTGTAGTTGGCCGCCGGTGACGGCGACGCCTCGTCGAACGAGTAGTCCTCGAAGTCGGGCCGGGCCGGCGTGTTGCTGATGGACGGGTCCCAGGCGCCGCTGCGGCCCGGCGTGGCCGAGCCGTCGTGCAGCGGCGTCTGGCTGCCGTACTGCGGCGTCCGCGAGCCGTCGTACTGCGGCGTCTGGCTGCCGTACATGGGCGTGCGCGAGCCGCCGGCGCCGTACATGGGCGTCTGTCCGCCGCCCGTGTACAGCGGCGTCTTGTTGTAGGTGGAGAGCGAGCCGGCCTTGGGGCCGCCGCCCACCACCGAGACACGATTCTTGTCCACTGAGATGGTCTGACAGTTGGAGTGCAGCTCCACGCGAGCCGTCGTCTCCGTGGCGTCCTTGACCACGCCCACGTGACCTGGACGCACGGTCAGACGGGTCAAAGACCTGGGATACACGCAGCACGGGACACGGACAGAAAAGGCAGACCAATAGATGACAGAGCAGTGGCACGGTAGTAAAACGGAAGACAGTCATTAAATGTGTTTTTTTACGGTGAACTGAAACGTTTTATGTAGAATGGCAAAACATAATATCAAGCGAAACAATAAAAACTAAGCAAAACTCGTGTTCAGCCAGATCCTAACATATAGCCTTTCAGCTCAAGCACCCCCACACTGCAGCACACACCGAGAGGCAGAGCTGGCGGTATCGGTACGGCACCCACCCTTGTTTAGGCCCCTGTGTGATTCTGATGGGCTGTCACCCACCTTTGTAGGGCCCCTGTGTGATTTTGATGGTCTGGCCGATGAGGTCGCGGTCGCGGCCCATCCTGGCACCCCTGCCGCGGCCCCTGCCGCCGCCGGCCGCCATCCCCCCGCCGCCGCCGGCACCGCCCCCGGCCGGGTGTGCCGGGGAGGAGAGCCGCGGCGACATGAAGCCGGCGCTGGCCGTGTTGGTGCCGGCGCCCTGGCGACGCGAGGATGGTCAGCGCGGCACGGGGAACGGGGGACAGTCAGAGCTGGTCAGTGCGGCACGGGGAGGGGACATTCGGGAACGGTCAGCGCGGCACGGCAAAAACTGGATACAGGGACCGACAGAGCATCTTGCCTCTTGGAGGACCGAGCGGGACAGGGGGACCGGACGGGGGAACGTCAGGGATGTTCGGCGCGGCAGGGGAGGACGGGACGGGACATGACTGGGGACAAGGGGCCGTAAGGGCTGGTCGGTACGGCAAAGGGACCGGGGGCCGTCAGAACTAGTCAAATCGACAGGGGAAGGAGTGGAGAGAAAGGAGAACAGGGTACAGGACCTGGTCCACTCGGACGGAGGGTTCGTTAACTGGGCGCATGGGGATAGGAGTTGCGCAGTGCAGAACATGAACCACTCGCTTTGAATAAAGCAATCGCCAACAGACATATGGTAGCCATGGGCAAATTAATTACAAATTATGTTCAATCCCTAGAAGATCAGGGCAAAAATGTATACTCGTAGAGAGCTGCTAAGATTGGCAATGCTACAACACCTCACAGCACAGTACGTTTATGTTAATATGCTGATTTGAGAGCAGAGCTCAATTTGACCTTCCAGCGCTAACTAAGGCCGTGTACCGTCCCGGCTCTGGGCAGTCCGCTGGCGCGTACCTTGGCGCCGCCGGCCAGCACTAGGTGCCGCGTGCGGCACACGAAGATGCCGCCGTTCTCCAGCATCATACGTGAGTAGAGGAAGGCGAAGCTGCGGAACAGGTGCTTGATCTCGCCTTGCCGTCCCTGTGGGAGCAGAGGGGTCCGTGAGCGGGCGGGCGGCGAGGGGAGGCCGGCAGTGCAGACCACAGAACGGCGGCAGAGGAACTGGACAGAGTGACAGCACCAAACAACATTGGTGTCCTCCCCCCCCCCCCCCCCCGGTGGTATCAAACAGTGCGATAATCAGTGATCCATTATTTTTTCAGAATTATGGGAGGAAAATCAGGCTTAATGGAAAAAAATGTATATTTTCATCCTAGAAATAAAGAAAAATTGCATTAATCCATCTGAGAAAAAATGTTTCAAGCATTCGAATAGCCAGGTTATACATGACTTGACATAATGCACCCACATCCTTTTATTTCCAATCCTGTCAAGATCCTGACATAAAGTCCCGCTTTATCAATTGGCGATAAAAATGGTGTTACGCCCTTTTGCGGAAATACTATTGGTATTTACTTCCTTTTTTTAATCATAACAATTTTTCTTCATCGGCATACCCAAACAAAATCCAATTTTAGAACACTGGAGACAATCCCCCGGTACCCAAGGCGAGTGCATGACCCTGTATGACTGACATGACAGATTAAGTGCATTGGCACAAGAGTAGTACACACGAGCACGCAAGCCCCGCGTATCTGGTTCTGTCCGGTACGGATTTGGCAACTATCCGCTTCTGACCGGTTTGAAACGTTTACAGGCCCGCTCAGCTAAAGCCGTCTCGCTCAGCTGAGCCATCGTGTTACAACTGACTTTAAACGCAACACTAAATAATTACAGCACGGTTGCCCAATGTGAGCCCGTTTCGAGACCCGTCAAAACACACTTACGGTCGTTGCTCGGCCCTCGCGGCACCGGTCCGGCCGGCGAGTTAGTAATACGACGGAGGATTACACGCAATGTTCCGTTTTTAGGCCAGGTCGTTGTTGCGTTTGTTGGGTAAAGCTTAAAACATACCTACTTTGGACTGAAGTTGATATTTCACAGTCAGGTTCTGTTTTCTTTGTTATTAAGTTGAGAAATGAAACAAACGTCAAATAAAGAAGTCAAAACCTTCCCGGCCCGGTCCTAAAGAAGCAGTCTGGCCCGACCTGCAGCTGCTCCTACACGCCCGACCTGCAGTCCCCACACGCCCGACCCACAGCTACAGCTATCCGCCCCAGCCCACAACCCTACAGCACACGCCACACGCCAAACACGCAGCCGCTGTCCTGGTCGACCTACCGAGTGCGGTCCGTCCACCACCTTGACGATGTCCTTCTTCTGAATGGTGTTCTGCTCCGTGTCCAGGGCCACCGCGTAGCGCGAGTCCTTCTTCTTGTGTACCGCCTGCGGCTTCACCTTGATGATCTTGCCGTGCATGTTGAGTACGTGCAGGTTCTCGCGCTCCAGCCGGACAATCACACCGACCGTCTGGGGACTGCCGGTACACGTCAGTGGAACAACAAACTAACGGTACACGTCAGTGAAACCATCCCACCGTCTGGGGACTGCGGCATGAGGGACACGTCATTTAAACCATCCCGCTGTCTGGGGACTGCGGCATGGGGGACAAGTCATTAAACCATCCCACCGCCTGGGGACTGCGCCATAGGGGACACGTCATTTAAACCATCCCGCTGTCTGGGGACTGCGGCATAGGGGACAAGTCATTAAACCATCCCACCGTCTGGGGACTGCGGCATAGGGGACACGTCATTTAAACCATCCCGCTGTCTGGGGACTGCGGGTACACGTCAGTGGAACAACAAACTGCCGGTACACGTCAGTGGAACCATCCCACCGTCTGGGGACTGCCGACACGTCAGTCAAACCACCACACCCACCATAAGGGGACTGTAGCGGCAGGACACGTCATCAACCCCTCATAATATTAACTCAGTCTGCAGTCAGTAAATTAGTCAGTCGAGCCAGCGAAATCAACCGCTGGGGACGCGGATTTACGAATCACACAGAAAGACCAGCTGACACTCATCGGGACATTATCCCACATAAAGCTCCCAGTGCCGACAGAGGTTACACTTATCTCCCCAGCGCCATCTGAGCCCAGAGCAGCTCCAACGCCTACCCATTTCCCTGCGGATCGGCCGACAGATGGCCGGAAAACACCTCTCACCCGTGTCCCACCCGTATCTCCCCAGTCCTGTCCCCTGCCCTACCCTGACCCCTCATGACTCACTCGAGCTGCACCATGTCGCCGTACTGGAACTGGCCCCCGTGTGTCCCTCCCCCCCCCCCCCCCCACTCACTCCCCTCACGACTCACTCGAGCTGCACCATGTCGCCGTACTGGAACTGGGCCCCCGTGTGTCCCTCCCCCCCCCCCACTCACTCGAGCTGCACCATGTCGCCGTACTGGAACTGGCCCAGGTGTGTCCCTCCCCTCCCTCACTCACTCGAGCTGCACCATGTCGCCGTACTGGAACTGGCCCCCGTGTCCCTCCCTCCCCCCTCCCCCACTCACTCGAGCTGCACCATGTCGCCGTACTGGAACTGGCCCCCGTGTCCCTCCCTCCCCCCTCCCACTCACTCCCCCCCCCCTCACTCACTCGAGCTGCACCATGTCGCCGTACTGGAACTGGCCCCCGTGTGTCCCTCCCCCCTCCCCCACTCACTCGAGCTGCACCATGTCGCCGTACTGGAACTGGCCCATGTGTGCCCCTCCACCTCCCCCTCTCCCACTCACTCGAGCTGCACCATGTCGCCGTACTGGAACTGGCCCCCCTGTGTGCCCCTCCCCTCCCCCCCCCACTCACTCGAGCTGCACCATGTCGCCGTACTGGAACTGGCCCATGCTGTCGACGCCTGTGGCCATGTCGGAGCAGAGCTGCAGGTCCTGCGGCAGCACCTTCAGCTCGTGCATGGTCAGGTCGGAGAAGAGCACCGCCATGGCGTCCTCGACGCGCACGATCAGGCCCGTGTCGCCCTCGTAGCGGCCCGAGATCACCTTCACGTGGTCGCCCATGCGGAAGTACTTTTTCAGCTCGTGTGCCGGGAACTCGAGCGGGTCCTGGAGGCGGCAGCGGGGCGCAGAGCTGGTCAGCGGGACACTGGCGGCGGCGTCACGGACAGGGCACGGGCGTCTATCGCGGACAGCTTTACACGGAAGAACACCATTAACCGACCGGGTCTAGCTCAGACGACCGACCTTATACAATAGCACAGACAGCCGACTGACCATGGACGGATAGTCTATGCCCCATAGATAGATAGCCCCACCCTCCGGGTGACCCCAGCACTGCTGCCGCCCTACCCACGCCCGTTCTGCGGGACCACCGCTGCTTTGACGGTCACTCACCTTCAGATCCTCGTGTTTGGGCATGATGGTGACCTTGGTGCCGTCGATCTTGACGATGGTGCCCTGCAGGTTGATGAGCTCACCCTCGATGACCTCGACGTTGTCCCCGGGCGTGAAGAGGTGCTCCTGTTCGGCCTTGGCCGAGCGGGCCAGCTCCACGTCCATGCCCTCAGGCTGCTCCTCAAACTTCTCCAGCTCGGACAGCGTCGGCTTCACGCCTGTCAGTGGTAGAAAGTCGGCACTGTCAGCCTAGTCTCACCAGCCAGTGCTACCGTTTTACTATTGATTACAGCAACGTATTGCTGGACTGACGAAAATAAACTTAAGAGAGAATTGGCAAACAGTACAAGCGGCCAATTCCTGTCAAAAAAAAAAAAAAAAATGTCGCTGCATTCATCAAGTTTGCTGGCAGTATGATATCCTATCAGGAATTCTCCATTGAACGCGGAGGTCAGACGCCTATCCAGCGCCTGCCACAGCGGGCACGCGCTGGCGCCTCTCTCCCCCTTACAGATACATCCCTCATCCTTACAGATGCATCCCTCATCCCAACAGAGGCCTCCCTCACTCTCACAGGCGTGTCACTCACCCTCGGCCTGGATGGCGCTCATCACGAAGCTCTTGTAGAGGAAGCCTTTGCGCGAGTAGCGGTTTCCCTCGAAGATGATGAAGTCTCCGTCCTGGCTGATCTCTCCGCCGATGGCGCGCACCGCCTCCATGTCGAACAGCTTCTGCGGCGGCCGGTGGCGCCGCTTCCGCTTCACCTCGTTCTCCTGAGAAGGGCAGGCGATCGGCCCGGGTTCAGCGCCGGGCCCAGGGAGTCTGCACACAGCCGGGCAGTTGGTGTACGGAGGTCCGTACAGTGACACAGCTCACGTCTACAACGGCATGGCATTACGGAGAGCCGGCATAACTAGAGACATCTGACTGCGCAGTGGGCAGTCGACGGCGGGTGCCCTGCAGAGACGGAGCCCCTTACCTCAACCGAAAAGCCCAGGGTGAGAACTGTTCGCCGCTGGCCTCACCTTGTCGCGGAGGGCGCCGCGCATGCGCGAGTAGTCGATGCGCGGCACCAGCTTCAGGTGCACGGAGCTCTGGCCGGCGTCCACGTAGTCCACCTGTGCGATGTCGTCCTTGAAGATGCCGCGCTTCAGGCGCACCCAGCAGCCGCGCTTCAGCACCAGCTGCTCCTTGATGACGCGCATCACGTCTGTCATCTCCTTGATGGGCACCATCTGTGGACAGAGACCGGGTCAGTCAGGTCACCGAGGTCAGACACCGGGTAAGTCGCGGTCAGGGCACGAGCATAGTGTCGACGTAACAATAACAATAACAACGTATAGGTACCGCGGCATATTTAGGTGTACACACAATTTTGTATAATATAATTAACCTAGCCTGAGAAAAGAAAGCCCATGACCGGTACAGCCGATCCACTTATTTTCCGCTCATTAGATAAGTCAGTCAATATGACCGTCGTGTGTACGGACCTGCTGCTGGTACAGTCCCATGCGGAGGTTGCCGATGCCCTCGATGGCCTGCTTGACGTGGGTCTGCTTGTAGGCCTCGATGTAGATGTAGCCCTTGACGCCCTCGGGCGCCACCACCGACTTGATCTGCAGCGGCTCGTCCTTGTTGGAGAGCGTGATGAACTTGGCCATCAGCTTGAGGACGGTGGCGCGCTCCTCACCGATCCGGCACTTGACCATCCACAGGTTCGGGTCCCTGGCGGCGGGCGGCGGAGGTCAGACAGCGGCCGAGACGGTACAGCACAGCCAACGGCGCCAGCACATCAAACAGACGGCGTCAGTGCAGCCCAAACGGCCGGCGCCAGCGCACAAAACAGACAGTGTCAGCACTCAGTGCACCAAACAGTCAGTCTCAATACACCTAACGAGCGGCATCAGACCAAACAGATGCCGACACCACACCACACCACACCACATGATGAGCAGCCCGTCAGCAGGCGAGCCGTCGTCGGTACTCACTTGACGCCGGGCAGCAGCGTCTGCTGGGTGATCTCGTCCGACATCTCCTCGCCGCCGTCGCCAAAGTGGCGCGAGCCGGCGCCCTCCTCGGCGTACTTTCGCCGGTAGTACTCCTCGATTTCGTCCTCGTTCTGTGTGTCCCACATCATCTGGGTGCGCCGGCGGCGCTGCTCGATCTCCTGGGCGGTGGGCCCCACCTCGCCCTCCTCGTTGGCCATGATGTCGTAGTTGTCCATCTCAGTGTCCCACTCCTCGTCCTCGTCCGCCTCGCCGTCTTCCTCGGCCTCCTCCAGGATGAAGCCACCGAACCGGTCCTTCTTCTTCTTGCGCTTCTTGCCCGAGCGGCGGTCGTCATCCTCGTCCTCCTCGCTGTCATAGTCCTGGGGGAGGGGAGGGGGGAGGTCAGCAGTGGACTACCCGCTGTCAGCCCAACTGAGCACCCGCCTCATAGTCCTGGGGGAGGCAGGCGCCGGTCAGCAGTGGACTACCGGCTGTCAGCCCAACTGAGCACCCGCCTCATAGTCCTGGGGGAGGCAGGTGCCGGTCAGCAGTGGACTACCGGCTGTCAGCCCAACGGAGCACCCGCCTCATAGTCCTGGGGGAGGCAGGCGCCGGTCAGCAGTGGACTACCGGCTGTCAGCCCAACTGAGCACCCGCCTCATAGTCCTGGGGGAGGCAGGCGCCGGTCAGCAGTGGACTACCGGCTGTCAGCCCAACTGAGCACCCGCCTTATAGTCCTGGGGGAGGCAGGCGCCGGTCAACAGTAGACTACCGGCTGTCAGCCCAACTGAGCAGCCGCCATACACAAATGGGACTATTCGTAAGGTGAACTCATGGGTAATGCGAACTGCAACATGCATGGAATAAACAATAGGCAACTCTGGTAGTTTACATTAATAGCTTGCGAGTACCATGAAAATAGGTCATGTGTGTGACGACATCATTATGAAAATGCCCGATTCTGGAATTGATCCGCAGTTGGTGCACACGATGGAAACACATTATCAGCTGTCGCTGCATCTCCTACCAGAGTTTATCGACACCCGTCGTTAAACACGAGTTTAACGACAGAGTTTACCGACACCCGTCGCCTGCACCCGTGTGTGAGCCGGACCCCGTGGCCGTCCCTGTCCCCCGGCCGACCGGTGCCGCCGCCGCCGCCGGCCCACTCACGCTCTTGTCAATGTCCTCGCCCTCTGGCTCCGAGTCTCCGGAGGGCTCCTCCTCGCCGGGCGCCGCCTCCTCGGCCTCGTCGTCGGCGGCCGGCCGCTTGTAGCTGGGCCCGGACGCCTCCGAGCCGGACAAGTCGTCGGCGTCCTCACTGTCCGACATGGCTGCCTGCCGGACCGCCGGCCGACCGGGCACGCTCAGCAAACAGACTGGCGCACTCGGCATTGCATACTGTGTGACAATCTAAATGAACAGTGAAGTACAGTACACTAGAGACTAGGTCTCTTCAAAAACAAAGCCTCTCAAGAAATGGATGTGAAATTAATTTTAAAATTATAAGTGCTTAGAAGGCAATGACAAACATCATTGGGAGTGCCTAAACCATGTTTCATTTTTCCAGCATATGGGGCAGCAGCTCCTTGGTTCTTGGAGAGACATCTGCCTGCTGTGATACATCTCTCTGTATGGTGTTTATTAGTGATATTATCGATTTTCAATTAGGTTTGCTTCCATAAAAGATGACATATTGATGGATATTTTCCTTCCAACAATATAAGCTTCATTTCTTAACCTAGCAATTGATCTTAAACAGCTTTATCATATATAGGCAATGCTATCTCCAAAAGTGGATCAAAGATTTCATGCTGCAAATTATCAGCACGATGCACGCAGGGTATACAACCTTCAGGCTTCAGTAGTAGTAAAGCAGGCATCACATTTGTCTTTTGCAACCAAGGAGAGGCAATGTAGGTTAGGTTGTAGGTTGTAGGTTTTTGGCTGTAGGTTGTAGGTAAGTTTGATCAGGTTTGGCTTAGTTTGGTTTGGTTTGATGAGAAAGCATCTCTGGGTATAGTGCCTTTCCTTGGTTGCAAAAAAAAATGTGACAGCTGATGCATGCCTACTTTATGACTACCCAACCTACAACCTACAATCTGCTAACTTACCAACCATACTTGATCTACACACATGCCCCTACTTTTAGATGTTTGATTGTACTTTAATTGGTGAACAGCATTAATATGATGAACTTTATTTTACTAGCCATAAAATTTTTCATTGTTTTACTTTACTCATTTATACTATTTTCTTTTATTGAAAACAAATGCAGCTTAGTATTACACCAATATTTATGAAAAAAACACTTTGGAGTTGATCATATATGTGCATGAAAAACTAACAATTTTGGGTGATATTGACCCCAAATGCAAGACACAAAGTAACATGCTGATAAAAATGGTGTTTAAATGGAAGTTCAGATCTATCACAACCAACCAAAGTGACAACGTCCAACCATACCTAGTGTGTTTGGCATTTCTAAATGAGGGATGATTTTCTGGGATCACCAATAATTATCCTGCATCACATTCAGTATCACAAAAATGGGAAATTCTAGCTGCTAATTTTCCAGTGCTGGAGAGAATCAAAATCCTCAGAGCAGGGCCACGGGGATGTTCTTCGTTTGCCGTTGCATCAAAGATCCACTAACATAAAGGCCTATCACTATAGAACAGTGGCCAGTGCAGCCTCAATATTGCGGTCATAGCAGTGAGCTCTTGAAAAAAATGAAGGATCGATGAAGCAATGCAACATGAATTGATCCAAAAATATTTCATAATTTGTTTGTTTGTTTGTTTTGTTGGGTTAGGCCCTTTCGGTCTGAAGAGACCATTTCAGGACCGGAAGGATGATAGGAATTAGGGGGAGACATTGGTCTGGGCAGACACCCTACTCCCTAGAGAGTCGCCAGAGCTGAGCCCGTCCAAAAGGACGGGCCGACCAGCCCCCCAAGCACCCTCTGCACCCGGCTACGGGTTGCGCTCCCTCGGGAGCAGCAGTGCCGCAGGCTGCTCCAAGGGAGCAGCCCGCATGAGATAAAGGTGCCTGTCTGGCCCGGAGTGGGGGTTGCGGCATGGAGGAGAAGGATTTCTGTGTCCTGAGGATGGAAGCGATGGAACGGAGGATATTTCATAAAATATTGCGCAATCTTTATATAGGTACGACGCTTTATCTCGGTAGCCAATCAAACGTTATAGGTTGTACCGGAGTTTCTAGCCAATCAGCAGAGCCCAAATAGAGCGTTAATAAAACGTAACAAATATAACGTACCAGGCAACTGTATAGGACAATTAAGTAGGTATTTGATAATAATAATAAACAATATTGTTACGGCCGGTGCAACCCGTGCAACAATCGCAACAATCGCAAGCAACAATAAAAAACTTTTTCTGCGTCAGAATGTGCTGCGCCAAATATCGTCATGTGTGCAGAGTTTAAAAAATATCTCATTCGACATGAATCATTTTTACAAAGCATTGTTGTAAAGTATCAACGAAGATTCTAAATATAAAAAGCAATTTCATTTATCTTTCGCGTATTTGGAATTTCCGACCTCGACGAGCGTCTGTGGTAGAAAACCACCACTTTGGTAGGGGAAACTACTGCTGTCTGCTACAATTTGCACTGCATGTCAAGCTATTGTAGCGACATCTATGCATATACATTTCCGACCCCGACGAAAATCTCGCGGCGCTTCGCGCCGACCCGCGCCGCCCATTCATACTGGAGACCAAAAGAGATTATGAGTTCAGAGTTGTGACAAATACCTAAAGCAACCACTACGTATGATGTATACATTAACAGTTAACTATCAGATTGACGGCATGTGTCAACAATTATACCCTGATAGAAGACCGGAGGCTCTGGTTACCAGTGTAAAAATGAATACTTCAGACCAGGGGCGCGGGAACTACTTTCCGACTGGGGGGGGGGGGCACACTTTAACCCTATTCCTGGCGGGGGGGGGGGCCTCAGGAGCCCCCCCTGAGGTTTTTTGGTTATTTCTCCCAAACGCGTTGAGCTAGGAAGCTCAAATTTTCTGACTTTTCCTAAAAGGCTTCTACGCAACATGTCTGAAAATTTTGAGTTGATCTGACCTCAGGTCAGGTCACCAGAGGCGGTTTGGTGACCCTACCTCAGAAAAGTTTGCAATCACGCCAGAGCTAGAGTTTTTGACCGATCAATTTCTTCTCTTCAGGGTTTAGTTAGGGTACCAGTATGTGCAATTTGTATATCTCGGAATTTTGATATCGGTGACCTAAGGTCAGGTCAATTTCGCGACCTCCCCATTATAAGTCAATGGGGGAAAAATCAACTCCCTGTTTTTACCACTAAAACGGGTCGGAATGGCCCCATATACCATACATGACTTCATATACGATCAACCTTCACTACCTTGAGGTCTGTTTTGCTGTTGGGCAGCTGTGAGGTCATGTGACGTCATCAAAGGTCACCAAAGGTTTTTGGCCAATAACTCCGTACAGGAACAAGATACAGACGCGTGGATGGTCTCATTGTGTTCAGCTCGTCAAGACGCATCGAATGATATACATGATGACCTCGAGGTCACGTGACCTGAGGTCAACCTTTGACCTTGACCTTTCGAGGTCAACATATATATATCATTCGATGCGGATTGACGAGAGGATCACGATGATGGCCTTAGTTTGTTCCTATCTTGACTAATTCGAAAGTTATTCGAGAAAAACTCTCTCCATATCTAGCGCCGCCATTTTGACTTTTTCGACCCCTGTGACGTCATCTTTGACCTGACCTGAAAATGACCTTAGTAAAAATTGTAGATCTTGGCCGTGCGTATCCGATGCCGTTTACCGCTTGTCGTTATCTTGCTTCGTTCTCGAGATCTCAGGGGGGGGGGCCGAATCGGCCCCCCCGCCAGTTTCTTGTCCCGGCGGAGCCCGCCAGGAATAGGGTTAATAGAGATCAACCTAGGGTATCCCCAAATCTAGTTTTCTCACCGGTTTAAGGCCACTTATTTTTCACCCCTCGGCTTTTTCAACAAAAAAGAAAACATTTGCAAAAAAAGTGTGGTATTCCGTCTCAAAGCTGTGGGGGCACCGCCCCCACGGCCCCAGAGCCGGGGGGGGCAAGCTGCCCCCACTGCCCCCCGGCTCCCGCGCCTATGCTTTAGACGCGTACCGCGTAGGAATTCAGCCCAGTATCGTTGAACAGATAGTGCATCGGCCTGAAAAAGTACGGTAACGATACCTAATTTTGGGTTTTTAGTCGGCCGATCCGTCCCCCCTGTCGAAAATCTGTGGCGACGCCCCTGGCAAGTGGCAGGTAGGACAAAAGTACGTATCGCAAATGTTCGTACAGTATATAAAGTACGCATGGACAAAACTACGTCAAGGACAAAAGTACGCATGGCAAAAGTACATACAGTATAAAGCACGAATGGATAAAAGTACGTCAAGGACAAAAGTACGTATCGAAGAAGTACGTGGTGCATTATTAAGTACGCATGGACAAAAGTACGTCAAGGACAAAAGCACATATCGTAAAAGTGCGTACAGCATAAAGTACCTACGCATGTACAAGAGTACGTCAAGGGCAAAAGTACGTATCGCAAAAGTACGTCGAGTATAAAGTACGTATGGCATAAGTAGGGGAGAGTGGGGAAAGATGCCCAGGGTTTTACTATGTCATATATTATTCGAAAATGACGATCGGAAGGCAAAAACTTGGAGTTTCAACAGAAGCCGACATCATTTTTCTCCAAAAATATCACAATTTCGTGCCTGAACTATGATAACTTTTTTTGCTATTAAGCATCTTCCTGAAGAAGTGAAAGGGGGCATCTTACCCCACAGGGTGGGAAAGACGCCCCTGGCGTTGGGTAAGATGCCCCCTGCACTATAAGTGACATAAATGGGCACGTGAATCGCCTGAACGAATCAGTAGGCCCTTCGAGCCTGCAGTAGACACCAAACGTCATCGTAAGGGCCCTCAAAAGTAGTCGTAAGGGGCTTCAGAGGTCATCGTTAGGGCCAGCTTAGTTCAGCGCGGCCAAACAAGCCTCCGTGGTGGCGTTCGGAGACCGCTGTGGGGCCCTTATAGGTCTTCATGATGCTTGAGGGCCCTCGAGCCCATCGTGGGGACCTCAGATGCCAGCGCGGCCCGTGGAGCCAACGTGGGAGCCCTCAAAGGATGTCGTGAGGGGCCTTGGAGCCAATAATGGGGCCCACAGAGGCCGTCGTGAGGGCTCTCAGAGTCAGATGCCGCCCAAAAAGTCGCTGTGTGGGCCGAGAGACTGGCATGGGGAGCACCCGACCGTACTGGACTCCCAATAGTCCCAGATCGGCTTTTGTCTCTCATCACAAGTATGTAATAAATGTCTTCTTAGTGCTTGTGCAAGGAGCATTTGTACTTTAAAATACTTTGTGAATGACCTCTCCTTGAAATTGTATGTAGGATATATTTTACAAAAAGTCAAATACAGAAATGATAAATTTTCGATCACGGATCTTTGTCAAATCACATTCAAAATTCAAAAAAATTCAAAAATTCAAAATTTATCATTTCTGTATTTGACTTTTTGTAAAATATATCCTACATACAATTTCAAGGAGAGGTCATTCACAAAGTATTTTATGTAATAAATGATTTGACGGGCTGCTTGAAGGAAAGCCTACGGATTTAGGGGGCGTCTTTCCCCATCAGGACAGGGGGCATCTTACCCCAAGGTACCGAAGTAACATTAAATCAGTACAATTTGTTAGCCATAAAACTACACCCTGAAACAAACTGTTTGGGACACAGTACAAGCATGTTAATGTATCACGACTATAGCAAGGGACGCAAAAATTATCTACCTTCTTTGATATTTACAGTGTTTTGACACCAAAATATTTTTTGAAAGCAGCAAATAAAAAACATGCAATCACCAGCCAGCCGTTGCCCAACTGAGCTTCGCAAATTTTTGTGCAGTTAACAAGGCAGGCTTCCGCTTTACGCTAAGAACATTAATTTCCAGGTTCGATTCTTTGTTTCGCCGCTAGAGGGGGTGGGGCGTCTTTCCCACCCTGGGCATCTTACCTTACTCTCCCCTACGTCAAGGACAGAAGTAGGCGTATCGCAGAGGTAGGTACGTACAGCACAAAGTACGTATACCTAGACAAAAGTACGTCAAAGAAGAAAATACGCATCGAAGAAGTACGTAAATTATAAAGTACGTATATCGCTAAGGTACGTACCCAATTGCATAGATGCCGCAATCGGTCGCAACTACAGCGAGACATGCAGTGCAAACGGTAGCAGACAGCAGTAGTTTCCCCTACCAAAGTGGTGGTTTTCTACCACAGACGCTCGTCGAGGTCGGAAATTCCAAATACGCTTATCTTTCGCAGCAAAGGTTAAAAAAATTACTGCAAATATAGCAGAATTAAAGGAAAATTAGTAACCTTGAGACAATACAAATATTGACGTTTGATTGACAAAATTATTTATGTTCATAATAAGACATTAGCCGGTTTCTGTCAACGCGAGCAGCAGTCATCATAATTCATCGAATCATAGGCCTGTTCCAGCGCCTCCAGAAGAAATTCTTGACTGGAGGCTCTACCAGAGGTTTTACTCACAGTGTATATAAATACAGTGTCGGCAAATGAGCCTGGTCACGTGACCGGCGGACTCGCTGTTTTTCGAGGGATCCGCACGTGCGGTTGTGGCAGGGGCACCTCCCGGTAACTGTGGTGCCGACTCGCTCTCGGCCCCCATAGGGATACAATGGGACCTACTTTTTGATTAGCTCTCCTGACTAAACTAGGACGGATTTTTCAAAGATACAACTAGCACCACATGCAGTCGTGTGTAAGCTGTCTAACGGTACCAAAAATATATTTTTATCGGCAAAATTGAATAAGTACAGGCCCATTTTAGGTTCGATTCGCGCTTATGACGGAAGAGAAGCCACCACTAATTATAAATACAACGAACAAGTGTTGGAAACCGGAGTATAAATGCAGTTTTGAATTACATTAAAGCCATTTTCAGTCACTGCAACCGATGAGTGGAAGTGATCGGTGTATTAGGTCACCCGTTACCGTTAGGTATTACTTTTTAACTACCTACCAACAACACCCATAGGTATTGTTCTGATCTATTCCAGACAACAAACTAAGGTTTTGTGTTGAACTGTGCCAGAAAGAGCAGTTAGGTCAAATATGGATACGAAGGTAAATAGGACTATACGAGCATCCATGTTGATACGTTTATGCTGGAGCTAGTAGTTGATAGGTGTTCCGTTCTATTGATGCGGGCAAACAACGAATCGGGGTTGTCATGGGCGAATCTATAGGTATAATTGTGTCTTGTATGAAACATGCACAGTATCTGCAAATACTA